CGGGCGGAGCTCCCCTTGCATTTTGCTGCCCATCTCCCAAGCCCTCTCCCTCTGTTCCTTTGTCTTTAATTTTGTATTTTTTGGTGGTAAAATACACGTAATACAAAATTCTCCATTCTTAAGCGTGCAGTTCTGTGGCATTAAGTACAGTTACGCTGTCGTGCAACCAGTTTTCCAGTTTGCCTTCTGCCTGAATGATTCCTGCCGAGAGGGTGGTTCCCACGAGTGTTCACATAGCAGGGAATCCTGGGGGCTGCAGAGCAAAGGGCCGGGCAGGCCTCCAGCAAAACCCCTGCGAGCTCTGAGTCTCTGCAGTTGGTGTGGGTGGGCGAGTGGGGGGAACATTAATTATGACAGGGATAAAAAAGCATTAATAAATAGGGTGTACATTTCTGTAAAAATAACTTTTATTGCTCTTTCCTTTTTTATTTCCACATATTATGGGGGTACAAATGTTTAGGTTACATATATTGCCTCTGCCCCACCCGAGTCAGAGCTTCAAGCGTGTCCATCCCCCGGACGGTGCACACCGCACCCATCAGGTGTGAATATACCCATCCCCTTCCCCCGCCCCATTGCTCTTTCCTTTAAGCTAAAAAAAGAGGTAATTCATGGTCATTGAAAAAATAGAAAATATTGATTACTAATCATAAGTCTATGATACGTATCTTATTTTCAGAAAATTGGGATGATACCACACGTTTCTTCTTAGTGTATCACCGATGTCTTCCCCTCGTATCAACGCTCTGCAATACCCCCTTACTGACTGCGTAATGTGCCAACTGCCAGCCAGAGCTGTCGGTTCTGGCTGTGAACAACCCTTTCCGTAGCCTTGTAATTCTCCTCGGAGCGAGACTGCGGTCCACGCACACGGCGCGTGCCGAGCTCCCGGGCGTCTCTGTCAACACCCAGCACCATCATTAGGAGAGAACAGTGGTGACGCCTCATGCGTCGCCCCTGCGCGTCCAGCCTCTGCGCGTCCAGCCTCTGCGCGTGTCCCTCCCGGAGACGGCAGACGCCGCGGCGCTGCTCCTGGCGGCCGCGAGGGGGCGCGCGCGGGCTCCGCCACCCGCGCCTCCGGCTCCCAGCGCTGAAGCCACCAGGGGGCGCCACGCCCGCCGCACGCCCACCCGGCTCTTTCTGCACCGGGCGCGGCTCTAAGGAGCTTCCCCAGGGCGGGCGCGAACCTGGCGGGGAGGGCTCCTCGGCACTGACCCCGCGGGTGGCCGGAGAAGCGGCGTGGAGAGAGGCCCGCACCCCGCGCTGTCACCGGCGTAAACTCAGGCCGAGTGGCAGCCGCTCCTCCTGCGTTACCTCCGCGCAGCACGTGCCCGCGTCTCGCACACCTTATGGAAGCACGAGCGCTGCTTCCCAGTCTCCCGGTCCCGCCCCGCCCCCAACGGAGCAGCTCGCACCGCCAGGGACGGCCTCTTCGCCAAGTTTGGTCCCGGAGGGTCCCGGTGTGGAGAACGGGGAGAGAAGGACCGGGGGCGGGCGCGCGGGGGCCGGGGTGTCAGCAGGACGCGGAGAACCCGGCGGTGGAGATTCCAGGTCGAGGAGCACGGGGGAGCCAGAGGCTCGGGCAGGACGCGGGGGACTGGGGCGTGGCGGAGGACAAGCAAGAGTGCAGGGAAGGAAGGGATCCCACAGAGGGCGTCGAGGAGGAAGCCGAATTCAGGACACGAGAGGCTGCGGGATGGGGGAGGCCCCGGGGGACCTGGACCCCCGGGGCCCAGGGGGTGCTTCCAGCGCAGCTTCAGAGCTAGAGGGGCGGAGGGGAGGCCGTGGAGCAGGAGCGCGGGGTTCTCGGGCTGCGCGCAGCGTCCCCGCCCTGCCCGGCTGAGGACGCGCGGCCGGGGGTGGGGAGCGCGCTGGGCGAGGGGAGCACACGGTGGAGGCGGCCCCGGGAGTCGGGCTGAGCCAGGCCGCCGTGCGGCGGCGAGGAGCGGGTTCCCGCCTGGGGCTGGTCGGGAAGGTGGGCGTCAGCTTGGATAGCGCTTCGGCCAACCTGGCTGCCACCGCCAAGAGTCCCGGGAAGGCAGCGCTCAGGGCCCCGCAACTCCCGGCGCCCGCACAGGGCTGCTGGAGGATGACAAGTGTCCAGTGGCTGCGCTGCGGGCGAGGAAAGGACCAACAGAGAGGGCTGGGCCAATAGAGAGGGCGGGGCAAATGGAGAGGGCGGGGGCAATGGTGAGGGCTGGGCCAATGGGCTAGGCCAACGGGCGAGGGCTGGGCCAATGGCGAGGGCTGGGCCGGTAGGCGAGGGCTGGGCCAATAGGGGAAAGACGCTTTCCCCTCCCAGAATACTAAGAGATTGACTGGATTTTTTTTTGGTCTGACATTTATTTCGACATAATTTCACCCCTACAGAAAAGTTACAAGAATCGTACAAAGTTTCCCATATACCCTTCATTCCGATTCCCCAAATGTTAGAAATGAAGCCACCCGCAACGTTTATACTAGCAAAGTTCAGAAAAGAAGTGTCTAATAGGAAGAAAACTAAATTACGTAGCCAATGATATGTAAAATAAGCTTATAATGTGGGGGTTACAATATAGAGTTAGGTGAAAAAGCAGGGACAAGCAAATACAATCTCAATGATGTAAAATTAGAGATTAGAAAGGTTGACAAGATGGCAACTGAAAATTCAGAGGACCCAGACTAGGCAAAATGATCTTGAAAAAGAAAACAGAAGTTGGAGGACTCACACAACCTGATTTCAAAACTTACTACAAAGCCACAGTAATCAAGACAGCGTGGTGCTGGCATAATGACAGATATGCACATCAATGCAATAGAACTGAGAGTCCAGAAACGAATCCTCATATTTATGGTCAATTGATTTTCAGCAAAGATGCCAAGACAATTAATTGGGGGAAAGAATAGTCTTTTCAACAAGTGGTACTGGGACAACGGAAATATCCACA